AATTTAGGGCTTTTGGGAGACCCTATGGTTTTTGATGTCGTCGAATCTGCAAGTGAGTGGGGGCGTAAGCCACCCGCTTTTTTCCAATTTTTCGAATCCGAACTTTCTTTTTCCGAAAAAAAATTGATTTGATTTGAATTGACTGAAGTTTTTTTCCATAGACAATCACCTAAAAACTGTTTTTTTTGCTCATTTCTTTACCATTCTAGGTTTTTTTGTCTTACGGGGATAAAGGCTATTAAATGCTGATGGAGTTATAAAACAAAAATTCCAAATTCCAAATAGCCAGATGAATATTTATGCAAGCAAAAACTAAATTTGATCTACACACTCACCTTTGCGGTTAATTATTATTGATTTCTTGCATTCGGTTGGAAATAAATGGATAGCAGCAATTCAAACTAAATACAGAAAAACTGATTTTGAATCAACCTCAAATAAATGCAAATTTTGTTTCAACAAGATGCAAATTGTATCTGCGATTCAGCCAGAACATTCAAACATAATTGCGACGTACATTATAAATGCAAACAATTCAAAAAAATGCGGAGACTAGAAGAGGTAAGAGGTCAAGTGGATTCAGGGAGAGAAGCCCCTAGCCCTTCAAGATTTTATCCCACTTGTTCTATTTTACCTCATCTATTTTTAGACTAGCAGCTATGAAGGTTCTCAGGCGCAAAAAAAAAATTTTTTTTTAGAATTAAGCGCGCGACAAAAAACCAATTTTAGGTAGAAACCGTCAAATACAGCCCGAATATTGTTTTTGAGCATTCTTTTTTTAAAAGTTTTTCCTGCATTGTGTGAATCTTTGTCAGATTTGGATCTGTATATATTTTTTATACTTTAGATTATGTAAAGAGTTTTCATCTCTACGTCAGCAAACTATTGAAGCGTGTAGTTGGAAAAAAGATCTGCTTCTGCACAATAAATCGAGTGGAGAGAAAGCTTTTTTCCCGGTTTAAAAATAATTGTTTTTTGTCTGAGCGTAAAATTGATGTTTTTTTCTTACAATGTCTTTAACTTAATGGCCCGTTTAAGCTGAATTATCGAAAAAAAAACATTCAAGTTGACACACTTAAAGACAATTAGAGGTTTAAAAATATTTTTTCCCGAAAACGTCACTAATTGAGTTTAAAAACTAATTCAAAATTATAAATCAGACCTTTTGAGAATTTGACCATGTGGGAGTTTTTTTTGTTACCGGGCAAAAAACCCTAGCTAAACCACAGCTCGTTCTTTTTGCATAAAGGAGTAACAAACCATTACGAATGACACAAAGAAACATTTGGAGATCATCCAACGGCTGGTTGTGTAGATGGTCCAATGACTTGTCCGCTTCTATATCTATTTATATTCTTAAATTCCTGAATGTAATTATATTTAAACTGACAAGCTAAAACATAATTACTTTTCAAAATCAGCTTTTGTTTGTTTTTTATATTAAACTGTTTGTTTTGTTCCCTTCAGCAATAAAAATCAAACAATGATTGTTTTATTTTGATTTTTCAGAAAAATAATTGATCTGCTAAAGTGCATGGCTTAGTTCACTTTTGAACAACTTTTGATCAAATTTTTTGGACTTTAATGCGTGCATAATTTCGTTCAAGAACATAGCCAAATTGGCCACGTTAACCCAAAAATTTTAAAAAAGTGACTGGTAAAACATCTTATTTTATTTAAAATTTTTGAAACAATTGTTTTTTCATATTTGAAGTAAGAAAGTTGGTTAAGTTTTTGCTTGGCTCGCCAGTAAAATCTATAAAAGCTTCAATGTAAACAAAACAGCAAATGTCGGACTAAAGACGGAATAATTTATAGCAAAAAGAATTTGAGTTGCTCATTACTTCTTACCTGTGACTATTTTTTAAGTATATATGTTTTGCTTGATATGAATCGAATTGCAAAAAAAATGATAGTAAAGTGTCTAGTAACGTATTTTTGACAGGAATGTCTTCCCTCATTTTCTTTTGGAACAATTAATGATCTGATTAAATAGCCAAATAGCCATTCCTGCGGCAATAGCGCAAAAAAATGCGCTTTAAGTGCCGCAAATTAACCAAATTGACAGTTTTCAAATGCCATATTTTTCAAAAGATTGACTGAATTTCAAATGGTAGTAAAAAAATTGGTTAGTTAAAAAACGTAATACTGGTTTGGAGAAAAAAAATTTCATCGAAAGTCGGAACGAAAATAGTTAGTCTTGAAAGTGATACCCGACGTAAATTATAGTAACAAAATCAAGTCCTAATCTGAGGTTGATCTATTCAAAGACCAAAAAATTTTCTTATTTCTAATTAACCTATAACTCGGATTCATTGCTTAAAATATCAGGGCCTCATTTTGTGTTCCGATTTTATTAAAGTGAGAATTATATTTGCTTCTAATGTTTTTTTGAATTTAGTCCATTTTCAAAAAAGAAATCTCATCGATCTCTGGATCATCGGGGGTCTCAGCCGGGTTGGAGCATCACTATTCAAACCTGACTCATTCATAGCTAAACTACTCGTTTTATGCTTATCTCGCACTAAAAATTGTTACAAACTGTTTTGAGGCAAGCTGTTTGGTCTTATTGATATCAAACACGACGCAAATTTTATATCTTAAAATTGGATACTATCAGCCTTAGATTCATAGCTTGTCAATTTTTTCCTAACCAAAAACTGTTTGGCACCAGATAATGGGTACTTGGAACAATCAGGGCTTTGCCCTGATAGGAGCAGTTTTGTTGTGGTTTATCTGGCTGCAGATACACATGTTTTTTTCTTAATTTTGAACAGTCATCTCACATTACTAGTGCAGAGACGAATCCTAACAATGTTAAACTACAAAATTCTTAATCATTTTGCTTGTTCTTTTTCTGATTTTCGTCTTTTTAAGTTTTGATTTTTGTTTCTGATTTTTCTCACAAATTAACGTGTGTCCCAAATTGGGCAAACTTTTAATCACAAAGTCCATAACTTTGCAAGACTTTATCGCAATTGAAATCAAGCAAGATTTGAGCGCTTTGAGCGGTTTTTTAGACGATTGCGCTCAAAATCTTGCTTCAAAATGAGCGGTTTGAGCGGTTTTTGAACGGTTTATCTAAAAAAAAAACGCGCAAGATTTGAACGGTTTTGAGCGGTTTTTCTTAGACGAACCGTTCAAAAACCGCTCAAACCGCTCAATTTGAAGCAAGATTTTGAGCGCAATTGTCTAAAAAACCGCTCAAATTGCTCAAATCTTTCTTCAAATTAGGTGAAAATTTCTCAGAGCAAAAATCGAAAAACCGTTATTTCGAATAACCTTGTTTTGGTGAAAAAATTTTAGGATGAGAGCTCAATTTGCTAACGAAAGAGAGAAGAACCGATTAACCAAAAACCTTCTAACCTTTCAGGATTCAGATTTGTTAAAAATTATTATTTTGATTGCTGAAAATTGACTGAATAAAAAAAACTACCCCAAGCATAAATATCCCACTTTCTTTGACAGTCAGAAAAATAAAACATCCACAATTAGACGAAAAAAGTTGAAAGCGGAAAAAGCTAAAAAAAATTCAGTTCTTGCAATTGCAAAACAAAAAATTGCTATAACACAGGTATTTAATAAATCAATAATGAGTTTATTGTTTTTAGCCGACAATTTTTGGATTTGCTTTCAGTCAGTTTTTTTTGGAATTCCGTAACAATACTGACACGATAATAATTCTGATTTATTTCATGCGCTTTTTTTCTGATAATAACACGTTTTACAAATTTTGTGCTGGTAAAGTTAAAATATCAGTATATCTCAGCTTATAATTTAGCTTCATTGTTTTTGTAGCTGGTTGACAAAAATTTTTATGAACGTCAAGATAAAGCACAGAGGAGTTTTGCTAAAGCTGTGAAATTGGTTACGTTTTAAATTGGGTTAAGTTGAAAAATTAGTATGTGATTTTGTTACTAAATTAGAAACAATTTTTGTCACAATTTGCGATCTCGAAAAATCAAAAGTAAAAACGTATAGTGGTTTATATCTGGCTGGGCGGAAACGGTAAAAGAGCCCTTCTTACTTTATGATCCTCTCATTGTATTTTTAAAATTTATTGGTCGAAATTTAGATGTTACCGCCTACTGCTTGTTGTTTGGCTTAAAAAAGAGTTTTTGCCCAATTTTCTTGTTTTCAGTTTTCCTCTAAACTATAAATTCCCCACTGTGGTTTCTTGAGGAATACCAGTTTAAACAAGACTCAATTCACCTTGTTTATAATAGATAAGATTGTAAATAATATAAATAATGTCATGACAAAATTCTAGAGTTCTACTTAAATCTTTCATAAATTGAGAAAGAGTGAGTGAGCGCACTTGATGATGAATAGAGTATAGATTGACAGGTCGGTAGCGACCTTGATAGCCAATAGGCAAGATTAGCACGATTAATAACTAGCATTGAAAGTAATACTATAATGACGTCATAACGATACCGTTAGACCACACCACACCACATCCACTTAAATTTACACAACCGCTGAGACTAGCCCACATTGATTCATTTTAGTGATTTTGCTTTCAAAGGGGGGGGGGCAATTTTATGACAGATGCCCTTGATGGCAAAAAACATGTAACCAAAAAATAAACTTTTGTATATCAGACTGATTTGTACGGGTTTTGATGCTTTTGTTTCAAATTTATGAAAACTGATTTAAAATATAGTTTAGCTTTCATTACCTACTGTAATTTAGTCCTTCTGTCGCGAGGAAGTTACCCGATTTGACTAATTGTCAACATGTCCCTGGAACATCTGAACGATGATGTTCCCAAATTAAATTAGCGGGGAAAAGTTCCCTTCATTATGATTTTTATACTCAATAAAGTTTGTTTGTGGATTAGATAGTTGACATGGTCGATGGACGGGGAAGGGGAGGCTTAAGGTGATAGTGGAGTGCGCGTCGTTGCGATTTTTTTATAAGGTTTTCTCAATAACTTTGTTTCTAAAACGACGCGACTTTTAAGGGCATTAAGAAAAACAAGCTCTTTTACATTTTAGGTTGCACAACGCCAGGACCAGAAAGCTGCTGCTGCAAATCAACCTACAACCTCCGCTCTCCAAAATAAGCATCCGAATAATGACAACAAAAACTTGACCTTGGCCGAGGCGGCGGCTAAACCTAGCAAGATTGGCGACAACAGTCCGAGGAAGCCGGCGCGAAGTCGTCAGCAGCCGCAGCTTCGGGTGGCAAAATCGTGTCTGGTGGCGACTCTAGTTCGTTCAGTGTTGTGGTTGCCGTATATCATTCATCTGGTCAGACTTGCAGCAATGAAAGCATTCGACATAAAGCAGGAAGGGGACGTTAGTTAATAAAGGATAATTCATTAAAAGTTTATAAAAGTTAGCTTAACGAACAGCCCTCAGGTGGGCAAATGGTGCATATTGTTCCGACTACATACTGTTTGTTAATTAATCGCTTAATAAATCGAAGCACAATTTTATTTACAAACCAAAACCAGGGTTTTCAGCAGCGCTTGTATCCCGTGCTTTAGTGCAAATCGAAATCTCAAAGAGTTTTGTTAGATTTCTTCTAAGAGATACATGCATCTTGTAAAAACATGTGAAAAACTTCCGGCATAGAATTTCACAAGAAACGGATGTCTTTATTTAAAGGTTTTATTTAAAAAAAACAAATTCAGGCGGAAACATCTGCTGTTGAGGTATTTCAGCGCTTTGTTTAGTGTCTGCTAGTGTAGCAGATATTTAGCAAAACCTCTTGCCGGAGACTGCCAAAATATTTTATTTGCCAATACAAGACATGAATAGGGATAATAAAACAATAGGGTTATAAAACTATATTGATATTTTTCAAAAAAATCCTCACTAGATGCGGATTAAAAATAAAATTGAAAACAATATTTTTTTTGAAACTAATGACAGTTTTTGCTTCAGCCATTTTTTCATTGCCCATTTGGGGGAAATCAGAAATTGCATTGTCATATTATATTGTTATGTTAATTGCATTTAAAAGAATTATCTACTCGTGTGTAGTTAGTGTGATAGTACGATGCAACTTGTTTCACACTAGCGTAGCGTAGTGTGATAGTACGATGCATATTTTTCCCCACCTAATTCGCAACTTTTGGCGGCACTTTTGATTTTTACGCTGAATTAGCTATATAATGCCTAGTGCTTCGACATTTGACTAGTAATAAGCTAACATAGTTGTTGTTTTTTTTTAATTTGTCATATGAACCAAAAAAAAACTATTTATTTCATATAACAGTATAACAATTGGAACTCGATATCAGAAACTTTCAAACACGATATACTTTGGGAGGTTTTTGAAATGCATAATTTATCAAAAATTTGTTAAAAAATTCCAATTTATTACATGCAAAATTAGTGTGGTTGTCTTTAGTTTATTATCGATTCCAATTTATTATGTGCAAAATATGAGTTTTGTGCATTTTAAACCTTCTGAATCTTTGCCATTTTCTCGCTCGAGTTTGCGAAGTTGCAGCTTCGCCTCTGTTTTTCAATCTATAACACTATAACACCATCGAAAAAACATTTACTTGGTCTAATTAATGCAAAAAGTTTAACAATTACAAAAAAATTTCAAGATAAAGCATTCAAAACAGGATGTCATGCAGGAATGCAAAAACAAAAAAAAATCTTGTAATTTTGAATAAATTACTGCACTTTTGCTTCAAAACAATTTGAAAAAATTTCAAGCTATCTAAATTTTTTTTTTCTGACAGAATTAAAAATTGTTGGAATACTATGAATTTTTTTGTTTTTTATAATTCGGGATGCCCTTAACCGTTATGAATTGTTTTTAAGTTTACTTGTCGTAAACTTGTAACACTACAATCTGCTATAAACGCAATTGACACAAAAATTAATACATCACGGCAATTCCTAAGTTTTCATAGGGTCATACATTGGCGGATGTTCTGCTAGAAATAGTACGCTTGAAGAAAACGTATTTAACTTTTTTTCAACATTTCCCTAATTTCAAATTTGGTGACGTTATCGGTTAATCAAATTCTTTTTCTAAGGCACAAAAACTTTTTTTTAGTTTCAAAAAATGAATATAGCTGAAGTAAACAATGATTATGCTAAACTACTAAAAATTGCTCATTCTATCCGACAAGGATATGGGGAAACACTAGAAATTTTTGGACTTTGTACACGTTTTTCTCAAGCAAAATTAGAGATTCCAAACAAAACCAGATGTATTGAATTGTATGTCAAGTGAGACACTTTGCTTAGTTTTTTTTCTATATTTAAATAAGTCGGCAAACAAAATGGGTTCAAGAACTTTTTGAGGTGTTCATTTTCAGTTTTTAATGTTGCAAATGTCTGTATTGCAAAAAAATGTATTTGACGCTGAATTTTTTTTGTTTTTAAATTATATACCCGATCAAATTGTAAGTAAGAAATTTCGCAAAAAAATTAGCTTGTCATAAAAGATGAACTTTGAACCAATTACAGACGAAACCTTGACCAACTTTGAGTTGTTGAAATTCGCTTAAAGCGCGTTATTATAAATTGTTATTAGATGATGCAAAATTTGCTGAAAAAGTTTGCTGAATTGTACTGCCCTTGTAAAATGATTTTAAATTGGTAAGATTTCAAACTCGTTTAGGTTGATCTATCCCAAACATTTTGGATCAATTAGTGCCAAAAAAGCTAATTTAAATTGGCTTGGATAAAAAATGGTGGATACTAGTTTACATTTTACAATTTTTTAAGGTTTTAAAAGGATCAAATTTTTAGACTTAAGCACTTATTAACTTTGCTTAATCATCATTTTTGCTTCAAAACTTGGGCATTTTTTTTTCTTAAAATGTTTTACTGCAATCTATAGTCAAATAAATGCACTTTTTTACCGTAAATTACTATTTTGTGGCTTTTTTATGTTTTGCAATCCAAGAATCAGTGCGGCGCATTTTAAAGCGAGTCTTGAAAACTAAAATCTCTAGTGGAAATTTTTAACTCTGCTTCAAAAACTTCGTGCTTATTTAATCAAGTAATACTTTTTCAGGCCAAACATTAGCACGCAATATTAACTGCAAAACGCACTATAGTAATTTTTTTGCCATTTCATTCATAACAACTGAGTGTCGATTATTTTTGGAAAACTTATAACCAAACAGTGTAAAACGATTACTATGATAAAATTGATTCAAATCATAATGAATAGGTTAAAAATGACTCAAATTGACACAAAGTGCATCGATAAAAAGCTGTAGAAAAAACTATGGATTAAAATAGATTTAACTTCATTTGAATTGATTTTTTAGCTTTTTGAAATGCTTTTTGAAATTGATTTAGTTCTATTTTCTTTTTTTTAATTTTTTATTGATTTCTAGAGACGATCCTAAACCATATACAGTGTTGGCTGACATGACCACTTGACCACTTTTGAGGTGGGTTTGCAAGCTTAAAACAATCCCAAAGTTTTGAAACTTTATTTTTGGTATGTTTTCCGATTCTTTTTGCAACTATTCTAAATCGATTTTCTTCTTGAAAAACAGGATGCTTTCTTAAAGCATTGTGTTCCGACAGAGCTAAAAAAAAAGGATCAGATCTCATTATTATATAATTTTTAGATAATTTAATTAAACGTGGATTTTAGTAATTCAAAAAAATCTCATTCGGTATTTTTCATGCTGCCATCCATAGCTGAGTTTTTTGCGCACTCTTTTGTTAAAACTTTTTTCATTCTAGCAAAAAGAACCAAAATGTTTGTGTGTATTTTTTCTCTTGACGCCAGCTTATCCATTAGCATATGCATGATATTATAAAATGAAACATGACTGTTGAAAATTGAAACTAATGGTTATCTTTTTCCAGAAAAATGGAATTGGAAATAAATATGATCAACTAGCTTCTGAAATTACTTCTTTGATAATGACAATAATGGAGCTATGGCTATCTTTTTCCAATTTTGACCTCAACATTTTAACAGAAAATGGATAAAGTTTAAAATATTTTTTTCTGAAAGGATTTTTCATTCAAGTCATTAGAGTCATACATGAAAATTGTAAATAGCCTGAGAAAATGCGGTAATTACTATCCGAATAAAAACCACACCAAGCACAAATATGTTTGTGCAACATTTGATATTCAGACCAAAATACTGCTCAACATTAACGCAGAGTGTGGACTGCTCAACATTAACTCCTGATGAAATGATAACTAAGCTTGTATAAAATGAAGGTCATCTATTTTTTTTTTCATCCAGTTCACTCGCTCAGTTTCTTTATAGTTCATAAAATGTTCTACCAAATGAGTGCAACACGAATCAGGAACACATTTCTTATAGTCGATTACCTAATTGATTAGAGACCAATTTGGATCTCATTACCACGGAAAGTCCAATTAAGTTTTCCGTTTCTGAATACATTTTGCATGACATAGTAGCTCATTATGCATATGACGGTCGATAAATCTTTCAACAGCTCGTTAATTTTTCGCATATCAACGTCTCTTCATTACATATTCATTTTATGCTTTTTGATGCGAGCTTTGCCATTTTAGGTCATAAGACAACCTCAACTTTCCAGCTCTCAAAACATCAGGAGCAAGTTTTAAAACAAAAAGTCAAGGAAATTGAAAAAAATAACGAGACTACTTGTATCAGGGTGAAGCCCTGAATGTTCCGACTGCCTTTAAGGTTTATGGAGCAGGAATAACAAAAACACACAACTAAAGTTGAATGAAATAAAACAAAATGAAATATTTTTTTTGAACTTGAAATTTTTTCTATAAAAATTATCCCCCCACACGCTCTATAAAGTACAAAAGGATAAATTTCGCTTCTAGTAACAAATTAATTAAGGCAAATAAGCTTCTCTCAACCAGTTCGGAACGATTTCTAATATGAATTAAATCTCCGCTTACGCGTTGATAGCGCGAATTATATCGCGCGTTAATTGTCCAAAAATGGCCAAAATGGCAATCTTTAAACCTCCCTAACTTTTCAAAAAATAATTACAGGTGAAATATCTTTTCAAATTTAAGCTCAAGACAAAAATACTTCTTGAATGATATAAAAAAATTTGGTCAAAAATTGCAAGTTAAAAAGTCGAATTTCGTCGTTAAAAAGTTCCAAACTCTCAACCAGTTTGGAACGATTTCTAATATGAATTAAATCTCCGCTTACGCGTTGATAGCGCGAATTATATCGCGCGTTAATTGTCCAAAAATGGCCAAAATGGCAATCTTTAAACCTCCCTAACTTTACAAAAAATAATTACAGGTGAAATATCTTTTCAAATTTAAGCTCAAGACAAAAATACTTTTTGAATGATATAAAAAAATTTGGTCAAAAATTGCAAGTTAAAAAG